CTGGTAGCCGGGCTCGGTGGCTCAGCCTGTAATCCCGTGCCTTTGGGAGGCTCAGGTGAGTGGATTGCCTGAGCCCGTGGGTTCGAGACCCGCCCAGGAAACTTGGCGAGACCTCATCTCTACAATAAATTAAAAAATCACCCGGGCGTGGTAGCGCGCGCCTGTAGTTCCAGCTACTCGGAAGGCTGAGGTGGAAGGATCGCCGGAGCCCAGCAGGTTGAGGCTGCGGTGGCCGGGAGCGGCCACTGCATTCCAGTCTAGGCAACAGAGCAAGACTCCAACTCAAAAATAAATAAATAAATAAATAAATAAAAACGATTCTGGCTTGCCTACTGGGCTGTGCCCCAGGTGACTGGCTGACCCAGCAATAGCTCCAGACTCAGAGAGCACATGACTGCTCCCTTCTCCCTCCATTCAGGATTTTTTTTCTACCATAAGCTTAGATACCAGAATAAAGGGCTAATGGAGAAATTCCCACAGGGCAGGACAGCCCTGGCCTCGGGTCTGTGGGGTCTGGATACCTTAGTGGCTGAATACATTGCTAAGAATGGCCAGGGGCGTGAGTCAGTCACTGAAGACATGTTGATGATGATGCCTTTGCCCCTGAAGGAAGAAGCACTCGTTGGAGGTCATGGCCAAGGCTAGAGAGGGTTCAGGCGCTCTGCCCACCACACCTCCTCTCAGCCTGTGCTCTCATCTGAGAAGCTTCAGACAAGCAGGAATTAGACATGTGGGTGGAAGACAAGGAGACTGGTTCTCACCTGGTGACCATTTGGGGCAGGATGATTCGGGTCATCTGTAGAGAACAGTGGGCAGGTCAGGTTATTCCCTGAGCATCCTCTTCCCTGCCTAAGACTCCTCCCCATCCTTGTCAAATTCATGCCCACTCCCCTAACTTCTCTCAGGAAATACCCCCTCAGCGTCTCCTCCATGGCAGGTTTAGTGCTCTCGGATGCTGAGGACCACCCAGAGTGGTCAGAGCCACACTGACCTAAGCCTCCTAGCCCAGTCTCACCTGGACCACAGACATAACGTTGCAGTTGACAATATCCGAGATGCGCTAGGGAAAGAAATGGAACCAATCGTTCTCTCCCTTCACCAGCCCGGCCACATCCCACATTTACCCATATCCTAGATTTTTCTTAGACATGCAGTGCATTTTCTTTTAAGTAGCCCCTAATAGAGGCTGGGTGTGGTGGTTCATGCCTGTAATCCCAACGCTTTGAGAGGCTGAGGGAAGAGAATTGCTTGAACCCAGGAGTCCGAGACCAGCCTGGGCAACATAGCAAGAGTTCGTCTGTACAAAAAAAGTAAAAATGATTCGATGTGGTGGAATGCTTGCAGTCCCACCTACTCCAGAAGCTGAGGTGGAAAGATCGCCTGACCCCAGGAGGTTGAAGCTGCGGTGACCCATGGTCATACCACTGCAACTCTTGCCTGGGTGACAGAGTGAGATCCTGACTTGAAAGAAAGGAAGAAAGAAGGAAGGAAGGAAGGAAGGAAGGAGGGAGGGAGGGAGGGAGGGAGGGAGGAAGAACCTAATAGAATTTAAAACATATACACCCATCGACCCATCAACTCAGCTTCTGGAAACGTGTTTCTTTCCAAGATATTCATACATGTGGAAAGTGAAAATGTTCAAAGATATTCCTTGCAACACTATGTGTAGCCACAAGCAACAGGAAATACCCTGACTGCTCATCCACAGGGGGATGACTAAACATGTGTAGTGTGGCAAATGGCTGGGCTGCTGTGTGATAAGCAAAAAGCATGGCTCAGCTGTTTTAATCCTGGTTAGAATGATCTCCAAGACACATGACTACTTGAAAAAGGCAAAGAACAGAACAGTAGGCTTCCAGCTGAATGAAAAATACATCTCCATGCTTCCATACGCAGAGAGAAAACAATACTTACCACATTTTTAATTGGGGGTCACTCCTAAGGAATGGATTGGAGGGAGAAGGCAGATTTTCACCCTCATTTTATAAATCCCTCCCTTTGGATTTTTTTTGTAAATGAGGAATATTTACATACCAGAATGCAGAAATCTTTAGCGAACACAAATCTTAACCTCCATGTGTATGAAAAAAATAAAACATTGACAATCCCCAATGCAACCCCTCCGGCAGTCATTACCCTTGTCTCCTCCCCAGGTAAGCACTGTCCTGACCCTTTTTGTTTTTATTATTTTTTATTCTGTCAACCAGGCTGGAGTGCAGTAGTACGCTCCCAGCCACCACAGCCTCAACCTGCTGGGCTCAGGCAATCCTTCCACCTCAGCCTTCCTAGTAGCTGGAACCACAGGCATGTGCCGCCACACCCAGCTAAGTTTTTTGATTTATTGCAGAGTCAAAGTCTCTCCACGTTGCCCAGGCTGGTCTCGAACCCATGGGCTCAGGCAATTCTCTTGCTTCTGCCTCCTAAAGTGCTGGGATTATAGGTGTGACCCACTGTGCCTGGCTTGTCCTGACCTTTTTTTTTTTTTTTTTTTTTGAGTTGGAGTCTCACTCTGTCACCCAGACTGGAGTGTAGTGGCGGCTCCCGGCCACCGCAGCCTCGACCTGCTGGGCTCCAGCGATCCTTCCACCTCAGCCTTCCGAGTAGCCAGAACTACAGGCATGCGTTGCCACGCCTGGCTGATTTTTTGATTTATTGTAGAGATGAGGTCTCGCCAAGTTGCCCAGGCGGGTCTTGAACCCGCTGGCTCAGGCAATCCACTCACCTCAGCCTCCCAAAGCGCTGGGATTACAGGCTGAGCCACCGGAGCCCGGCTTGTCCTGACCTTTAACACCTGTGAAACTGAGGCTGGAGAAATGAAATCATGTGTCCAAAATCACACAGCTGAGAGAAAACAGCTGAAAATTTGATCATCAATGTATCTTTTCTTGGAAGGCTACTGAAGGATATGCTCCAACAAAATGAGAGGGTAAAACAAAAAATGTGTGCTAGAGAAAACAGAAGCTCCCTAGGAGACAGACCAAAGAAGAATAATCATAGTCTACTCCATAACTAAGATGAGAACAGTGTTTTCATGCCACATTATGAAATATGCTGAGGAATGGGTGTGTGTCTGTGGGCATAAGTGTCTGTAGACAAGAAATATTCCTCATCTTCCACTGTGGGTGGTCACAAGATCACGGGTAAAACAAAGATTGGTATGTATGCTATAAACATATTATTTAAAGGTATGAAGTTACATTTAATTTAATTTTTTTTTTTTTAGTCAGGGTCTCACTCTATTGCCCAGGCTGGAGTGCAGTGGCACAATCACAGCTCACCACAGCCTCAATCTCCCAGGGCTCAGACAGTCCTTCTGCCTCAGCCTCCCAAGTAGCTGGGACTACAGGTCACAGTACCACTCCCAGCTAATTTTTTTGTTTTTTATTTTTGTAGATACTAGGTCTCACTTTGTTGCCCAGGCTGGTCTCAAACTTCCAGGCTCAACCAATCCTCCTGCCTCAGCCTCTCAAAGTGCTGGGATTACAGGCATGAACCATCACACTCGGACTGAAGTTATTATTATTTTTTAAGTTAAAACTGGTAACATCTAGAGCAATGGTTCTTAGCTGGGTGTGGTTTTGTCCCACAGAGGACATTTGTTAATATGTGGATACATTTTTGGTTATCACAGTGGAGAGGGAACGTATTGGCATTGAGTGGATAAAAGTCAGGTATGTTGACAAACATCCTATGATGCAAAGAACAGCCCTAGCAATAAGTCAGCTGAAGCTGAGAATCCCTGCTGTGAGCAACAGCAAATTGGAACCAGGTGTGCCATTTATTTTATCAGCCCTTGAACTATTTGTCTCCTTATGTACCTCTTTGATTTAAAAAAATAAGCCCGGCTCGGTGGCTCAGGCTGTAATCCCGCGCCTTTGGGAGGCTGAGGTGAGTGGATTGCCTGAGCCCGCGGGTTCGAGACCTGCCTGGGCAGCGAGACGTCATCTCTACAATAAATCAAAAAAATTAGCCGGGCGTGGTAGCGCGCACCTGTAGTTCCAGCTACTTGGAAGGCTGAGGCGGAAGGATCGCCGGAACCCAGCAGGTCGAGGCTGCAATGGCCGGGAGTGGCCACTGCACTCCAGTCTGGGCAACAGAGTGAGACTCCAACTTAAAAAAATAAAAAATAAAAAAAAATAAAGCAGGCTGGGCACAGTGGTTCACATCTGTAATCCCAGCACTTTGGGAGGCCGAGACAGGAGGATTGCTCGAGCCCAGGAGTTTAAGATCAGACTGGGCAAAAAATGGAGATCTCCTGTATGACAGAGTGAGAACCCAACTCAAAAAATAAAAGTAAAATAAAATAAATAAAGTGTACAGGAGGATGTGCATAGGTTATATGCAAATAGTACCCCATTTTATATTGGGGACTGGAGTTTCTACGTGGATCCTGGATCTAGTCTCCTACAGATGCCCTGGGACGATTTTAGCTTGGGGCATTGAGTGGGGTTTCCAATAGAGGGCAGTAAATTCTGAGGAAAAGGAGCCAGGCAGGCAAGCATGGGCTTTCACTCACTTTGGCAACGTTGTCACAGTCCAGCAGTTTCTGAAGGCTTCTTTGTTGTGTATAAGGCATGCCCACATTGTTCACTGAGTGAGAGGAGACGGACTGTGTCACTCCAACAGTGCCAGGAGACAGGGTAGGAGGGAGTCTAGGGTGCAGCCTAGGGTGGGCTGCCCCACGCAGGCATGGGGACATACCCAGCACTCCAATCTCCAGGTCCTGCAGTTCTGCCTCGATGGCTCCGTAGATCTCCAAGCCCCCAGTGAAGTCGGCCACGATGATGCGTGTGTTCCTGCCGTGAAGCCGCTCTGGAAAGAGGGGGGAGAGAGAGTTGAATCCTCAGCCCAGAACAGTCCCACCCCTCGTCCCCTCCCCACCACCGGCCCCTGTCCCTGTCCCTTGCCAGCCCCACCCCAGTCCCAGACTCTGCTCTTGTCTGGACATCAGCTCCGGCCCTTGACCCTGACCCTGCCCAGCCCATGACCCCGACCCCACCCCCACACCCCACTCCCTTTCCTGGCACGCCCCCAGCCTGGTGCTTCTGGCTCCCACCTATCTCCTTGGCCTCTTGCTCCAACTTGCTGAGGCTGCGACTGATGAGGACGATGTTCAAACCTCTCCGGGCGAGCTGCAGGGGATTCATTCATTGGTTTCTTCAGGAAGTAACATGTGTCGGCTGTATCCCGACAGCGGGTTACATTGTTTACAGGCACTGTGGATACTGAGGGGAACAAAAGACAGAAACAAAAGCCTGCCCTCGTGGGGCATGCGGGAGTATCCAGGGAGCCACGACAGCAATGCAAAGACCCTGTCTGGACGCTTAAAGGACAGCACTGAGTCCAGCGTGCACTCAGGGAAGAGGCTGGTTGAACGCTAGTTCAGCGAGGTGGACAAGGGACCAGATGATAGCGTCTCCAATGTCCCAGTAGAGACTTTGGCTTTTTATTCTCAGTGATATTAAAACCCAATAATTCTAGGCCGGGCGTGGTGGCCCATGCCTGGAGTCCCTGCTACTTGGGAGGCTGAGGTGGGAGGATCTCTTGAGGTCATGAGGTTGAGGATGCAGTGAGTTATGATTTTGCTACTGCACTCCAGCCTGGATGACAGAGCAGAACCTTGTCTCAAAAAAAAAAAAAAATCCAGTAATTCAAAAGCTTGTTTCTTTCTTCATTTTTATGTTCACTCATAATGTGTTTTCTGAGCATCTGCTAGATGGTGCAGGAGACATACGTCCCCCATGAGGATACTTAAGCTTGTATGTGCACTATCTGAACCATGGAGATCAAGTGGTGAGCCAAGGTCACGGTGCCCAGCCAAGAAGCAGGTGTCTCTGAGACCCCAGCATCCCAGGGCATGTCTGGGAGCATACTACGAAAACCAGTCTCATCTCACATACAGAGCAGGCAAAGAGACAGAGAACTGGGTTGAAATGAGTTTATAGAGGGGAGGCGTGTGGGTCTCTGGAACTGTCCTGCTTCCATCCAGGACTGCCCTGTATCTAAGTGTAAATAAATTACCTACTTATACCATGTCAGACAGGTCCGAGGCATTCTTTGGTCTCTTGGCCCCTTCCCAGTTTGGGGGGAATGCTCTGTATAGTCCCCGGTGTTTCTCGTAACACAGAGTGACCATGACAGGCCCAGTCTCACCCCCCTTCACTCATCCTCCACTCAGCTGCCAGAGGTCTCTTTCCAAAGCACAAACTTGTCCCCTTCTCTCTCCTGTCTGGAAGTTGCCTTGACTCCCCTTGAGACAAAACCACACCCTCACCCCAGCCTTGTGGGGCCTGATTTTTTTTCCCCTTTAATCCTTTCCACTATTTGACATACTATGTATTTTACTTACCTTGTTTACATTTGTCTCCCCTCACTACAATATAAGCTCCAAGAGGGCGGGACTTTTTGATTTTTTAAATGTATTTTGTTCACGACTGCATCCAAAGTACCCAGTAGATGCGTGGCACACAGTAGGTGGTCAATAAATATGGGATAATGGGGTATAACAGGAGGCTGTAGATGTGCACTGAAAATACCCGCTTGAGGGGGGCTTCCTGGAGGAGTGACCCTCTGAGAGGACCAGATAAAGCACCCAATTCTCAGTGCACCGGGGGTGGATGACGACAGGCAGACCAGAGAGGCTCCCTTGGCCCCAAGACTCCACGCGCAAACTCACCTCGTGTGCGTAGGCCTTGCCATTGCCGCTGGTGGCTCCTGTCACTACTGGGGGGTGGGGAGAAAGAGGACGGGCA